CTCGATCCCAGGACCCTGGGATCATGACCTGAGCTGAAGGCAGACGCTTAACCAACTGAGCCACCCAGGCGCCTCTGTTCAAAGCAATTTTATAGAGCATAACTATTGCAGGGGCACCTGGGTGGCTCAGTCATTAAGCGTCTGCCTTCGGCTCAGGTCATGATCCCAGGGTCCTGGGATCGAGCCCAGCGTCGGGCTCCTTGCTCCTCCCTCTCCCACTCCCCCTGCTTGTGTTCCCTCTCCCTGTCTCTCTGTCAAATAAATAAACTCTTAAAAAAAAAAAAAGAACATAACTATTGCAAATAATAAGAATTTCATATGTTCTTCATAATAAAGCGCTACAGTAGGTACCACCATTATTAGCTTCAAAGGTGACTGCCACATGAAAGAGATGCAATGTGGCAGATGAGAGACTAGGCTTACCCTGTGCATTTATTTTGAAAAATAAATGAGATCTTTCATACATGTAAAGCACTTCCATAAATGGAAGCTGTTATTATCAACCCAGCACTAAACAGATTAGAAGATTAAAAAGGTAGGGTCCAAGTGGTGACATGTTGGGAGAGGCAATGGAAGTGAATTCCAACAGCACAGGCTCATGACTAGCAGGAGGAAGTCTGAGAGAAGAACCACAAAAACCTAGTGTGTTTATACTACAGCTTTATTTATAACAGCAAAATATTGGAAACCCCATTAAAGCACTGATGAAACCAATTCTGACATAGTTACCTATAGGTACCAACATGGGAAAAGGTCCTAGTACAAAAAGTCAGGGGCAAAATATACAGAGCATGATCCCTAGGGAGGGCATACACAGAAACATGCTCTATTTTTATATACATGCTTTACTAAATGTGTAAAAAATATGCATTATCTAAAACTAATGATGTAATGTATGGGGATTAACATAAGAATAAAAAAATGCAAATTTAAAAAAAATATGCATTATTCCTCTTAGTGATTACTTTTTCAAATAATGGGATTATGGGGGATTTTCATCCTCTAGGTTATATAAAGGGTCTGTGAAAATAAATTTTCACAACAAAAAAATATACATCTAAAACAATTAAAGACAAAATTGAGTCATAACTTCCGGTGAACTGACATTAAGATTTCACAAATGTGTACACATTTCAAAAAACCTCAAACAATACCAAAACTCTAATCAAAACAGAATCAGCCTCATCAATAAAGCACAAGCAAAACCACAATTTAGCACAACCACTTCTATTTGCAAAGTACTTACATGTACCTTATCTTATTTGATTATCACTCCAACCCTATGATTTAAGTAAAGCAGGGGTTTTGATTTTCATTTTACAGCTGAAGAAATGGAGGCAGAGACGTCACATGACTTGCTCCAAGTCACAGTGCTAGCGAGTGACAGAGCCAGGAACAATGCCGAAGCCATCCTGACCCCAAAGCTTTTAGGGGCACCCCCCCAACTACGAAACCTATCAATTTCTAAGCCAGCAAGCCTGTGGGTGGAAGGTATGTTCAGCCTATCTCACATTTGGCTCTTTGTCAGAGTCTCTGGAGAGTAGTGACTGTTGTCAAGGGGGCACATGATCCACAAAACCACACAGCCAGGCACACTGGAAGGATACTGTCACCCCAGGCAAGGGCACGGGTAGTTAGTGCTGCTTGGGCCTGACCAGGCGCACACAAAATCCTGGGACCAGAACCGCACTCACCATTGACAACTCTCTTGCACTGAAGCATCTTGAGGTCAATCAGCTCCTGCAGAGGAATCAGAGGGCACTTGTCAGTGCTGGTCATGTAGGTCCTGGGTAAAGGGGCAGGGACCATCACTGGGAGTCACTAATGGGGGGGGTCATTTGGCCTATCACCCTACTACTAACAACAAATCATGGCTTTTGGGGAATGTAGTGCTGACCTCCGCGCCTAAGGCAAGCAGGAGCCTGAGTGAGCTACCCTCAATCAGCTGCTCTTCCCAGGGACCTTGGAGATGTTGGAGGCCTAGAAAGGGTGAGCCACTCAGGAGCCAGAGACAAGACAATAGCGCAGATTATGGACACCTGGACACTTTCCTCACCTACTAGTCTCAGTTCCAGTCCATCCCCTCAAAGAACCTCCTATCTCATCCCTATGCAAACAGCAGACAGTGATGGGCTCCCAGGAAATGTCCAAGGACAAAAGTGGGACCAGTGAATAAAAGCAGAGGGAGGAAGATTTGAGATCAATTCTATAAAGATTTTTCTAAATTTATTTATTTGAGAGAGAGATAAGGACAGAAAGCATGAGCGGGGGGTGGTGGAGGGGGTAGGGAGTAGGGAAAAGCAGGCTCTGCAAGGCTGGATCCCAAGACCTCGGGATCATGACCCAAGCTGAAGGCAAATGCTCAACCGACTGAGCCACCCAGGCACCCCAAGATCAATTCTAAAACTCTTATCCAACATGGATCACACTGTGGAAACAAAAGGGGCAAGCTCTTGAGCTCTGGACATTTTCAAACAGACTCAGGAAAGAAAGGAGAAAGAGGTTTCTTCAAAATCGGGATCATGAAAATGAAGGGAAAGCTCCTGTCTCCTGAAGGACTGAGATTCTCTGCCTCTTAGTAGGAGACAGCTGTTCTGCTTTGTTCAGTGATCATTTCAATAAATGTGTAAGATAAATCACAAGAGCCAGGTACCTGCCACACTGCCCAGAAGCTCATGCCCAGGGGTTCTGCGGGTCCAGAAAAATATAGGAAGAAACTCTGCCCCGTATTGACTACCTATGAGCCTCAGCAAGTCCCAACTCCAGCCAGGGGGGCACAATAGTCTTTGCTCCCTCATGGGAGCATGGAGGGCTAACGTGGCCAAAGGGCACCTATGGCAACCACAGGGCTCCCCCCCAGCATACTCATCATCCAGGACAGTAGTGTTTCTGTGGCATTCAGGTCCTCAAATATCTGATGTCCACCAGGCCTGGCCAAACAAATCACTACCACCAAGTAGTTATGGATACACGGTTGGCATCTAAGCCCCAAGAATCTGTGTGGTGTCCCAAGGGATGGGCACAGCCCAACACAGAGCCCCTGTAGCCAGTGATCTTTGTTGCAGGGCCAAGCAAAAAGGCAAGTGGAAAAGTGGGCAGCATTGAGTGGCCTGTGCTCATAAAAAGAAGCTCTGCAGCCAGGCTGAACTTCAGCTGGAAATGAGCAGGGTAAAGCAAGGCAAGCCCTTGCTGGGGCCCCCAGCCCTGCCAGCAGTAACTTGTCCTCCTTGGGATTCCCAAACCCCTCTCCACCAAGTCATTTACTACTTCTTCAAATGCCAGTTATAGATACCCCTGTAATATCTTTACCATTAGACCACGAACCCCGTGAGGAGGATCCTGTGTCCACACAAAGGTAGGCTTTGAGGACCCGGGCCAGGTAGCCTGAGCCCCAAGAAGAGGAGTTAAGGCAAAATGGCCCTTGAAATGTCTTATTTTCTTTTCAGTCTCCCCACCACACCAAAAAGTCTTTGGGGCCTGGATACTGTCTCATTCATCTTCCAATCACTAGCATCTAGCATACTGCAAGGGCTTACACTAAACATCTTGTTTCATTTTTCCCTCCCTTCCCCTTGTCTTGTTTCTCAAAATCCTCATATCAGTGAGATCATATGACACTTATCTTTCTCTGACTGACTTATTTCGCGTAGCATAATACCCTCTAGTTCCATCCATGTCGTTGCAAATGGCAAGATTCATTTTTTGATGGCTGGATAATATTCCATTGTGTGTGTATATAATACCACATCTTCTTTATCCATTCATCTGTTGATGGACATCTAGGCTCTTTTCATAGTTTGGCTATTGTGGACATTGCTGCTATAAACATTAGGGTGCATGTGCCCCTTTGGATCACTACATTTGTATCTTTGGGGTAAATACCCAGTAGTGCAATTGCTGGGTCATAGGGTAGAGCTATTTTCATCTTTTTGAGGAACCTCCATACTGTTTTCCAGAGTAGCTGCACCAGCTTGCATTCCCACCAACAGTGTAGGAGACAAACATCAATTTCTATCATACATAACATTCTATTTTTATAGAAGAGACCACCTTAACTTTGCCATGAACAGTGCCTTCTACTTCCTAAATATATCTCCATTATACAGTTAAGAATATAATCTTGGGGCGCCTGGGTGGCTCAGTTGGTTAAGCGACTGCCTTCGGCTCAGGTCATGATCCTGGAGTCCCAGGATCGAGCCCCGCATCAGGCTCCCTGCTCAGCGGGGAGTCTGCTTCTCCCTCTGACCCTCCCCCCCATGCTCTCTCTCTCTCATTCTGTCTCTCAAATACATAAATAAAATCTTAAAATATATAAATATTTAAAAAACTAATTTAGATTTTAGCTTAACTGAAAATTAAGGCCATTTGTAAGTCATTTTTTCTTCAAGTGACTACCCAATTTTCTGAACAACATTTTATTTTGTTTCTATTTTATTTTATTTTATTTATTTATTTATTTTATTTCAAAGTAGGCTCCACGCCCAATGTGGGGCTTGAACTTAAAACCCTGATATTAAAAGTCGCATGCTCTCCCAACTAAGCCTGCCAGGCACCCCATATCATTTAATTTTAAAATGCCTTAGGGGCACCTGGGTGACTTGGTCAGTTAAGCATCCAACATTTGATCTCAGCTCAGGTCTTGATCTCAGCTTAGGTCTTAATCTCAGGGTAGTGAGTTCAAGCCCTCCGTTGGGTCCCACCCAGCATGAAGCCAATAAATAAATAAATAAATAAATAAATAAATAAATAAATAATAAAATGCCTTATCATGTATGGGCTTATTCTTTCTTGTCTTTCATGTGTTGTTTCTGTATCTGAAATATGCCCTGCCACCTTCATCTTCTCCATTCCTCTTGGCTTGCTTTCTCTGTCTGAGCTGATCATAATATTTATCCCCAGTTTATCACCAGTGTCTCTCCATGACACCTTTCTACCCCCACCTCTGGTATATCCAGGTACTTTTTTTCGTTTCTAGTTTGGTTGAAGGATCTTTAGTATATCCCTTATTTTCAGAAATACAAGTATACTCAGATTGAAAAACTACACAATTCCCCACCTCAAAAAAAAAAAAAAAAATCAAAGCCAAAATGAATAATGGGAGCCCCTGAAGGATAAGAAGGAGAGAAGGGATAGAAAGAATACTTGGTTTTGGTTTGGTTTGGTTTTTTAAGATTTTATTTATTTATTTGACAGAGAGAGAGCAAGCACAAGCAGGGGGAGCTGCAAGCAGAGGGAAAAGCAGGCTCCCCGCTGAGCAAGGAGCCCAATATGGGACTTGATCCCAGGACCCTAGGATTATGACCGGAGCAGAAGGCAGACACTCAACCGACTGAGCCACTCAGGTGCCCCTAGAAAGAATATTTGAAGAAATAGTGGCAGAAAATTTCCCAAATTTGATGAAAACCATTAATCTGTACATCTAAGAAGCTCAACAAACTCCTAGGAAAAAAACCTCAAAGACAGCCACACCTACACACAAATAATCAAACTGCTGAAAACCAAAGACAAAGAGAATCTTGAAAACAGGAAGAGAGAAATGACTTACCACATACAAGGGATCATCAATAAGATCAACAACTGATTTCTCAGGGCACCTGGGTGGCTCAGTCGTTAAGCGTCTGCCTCCGGCTCAGGTCGTGATCCCAGGGTCCTGGGATCGAGCCCTGCATCAGGCTCCCTGCTCAGCAGGGAGTCTGCTTCTCTCTCTCCCTCTGCCCCTCCCCGCTGCTTGTGTTCTCTCTCTTTCTCTCTCAAATAAATAAATAAAATCTTAAAAAAAAAAAAATAACAGGGGTGGCTGGGTGGCTCAGTCTTTGGGCATCTGTCTTCGGCTCAGGTCATGATCCCAGGGCCCTGGCATCGAGCCCCCCATTAGGGTCCCTGCTCCGCGGGAAGCCTGCTTCTCCCTCTCCCACTCCCCCTG